GTGACTCCTGACCTAACCTGGCTTTAATGCAGAGGGAGCCGGTTGAATTTCTCGCTCCTCCAGTAGTGTTTTTGTTATGTGCCGGACTGACTGTCCGGGCGCTGCACTTTCCCACTTCCAGTTAAGCCTTTTGCATTCTGTCAACATTACGTTATAAATTAAATATTTAGAAAAACGATTTTTGACGTTGAATGAATCGATTCAGAATCGTTCACGTCCGCATCGCGATGCATCTAAGAATCGAGTTTTTCCCGCACCCCTAGTTGATACTAATTGTTTACTAGTGCACCTAGTAAACTCAGTGTATGTGGACCCTGCAAAGTCATAAGCAAAGATGGTCATTATTTTCAGGAACTTTTAGTGTGAAACCCTCAGTACATGCAACCTGTGAGGAATCAGTAGGAGGTCCACTCATGTTAACTGGCTTGTCCAACCAGAGCTTTTATCATCACAAGTTCTGATGTGCCCTGTGCTCAAGGAGAGCAAAGCCTGCCCAAGACTTATGCCATATCCCTGACGTTAGTCACATAAGACATCAGTATGAACAAAGTAGCGTTTAGTATCTGAAGCCTCGCCTCCTATTATGTCCTGACAGGCAAAACTGTGTTGCAAACATGGAGACATCCTATGCTTGCCAATTATCCGAAAAGAGATTTAATTTCTTGGCTGCGCCCGTTTAACAGAAAATGCTTGTTAAGATTGCTCATTAATGCAAACAGAGCACATGGTTTTCCCACTCCACAGTCTGATAGGAACAGGTTATTTCTAGACACATGAATAAGCATCGCACTTCCATCGATTGCAAACACTGCTTGCTTGGCATGTGGGTGGTTGGACAGCATGCGAGCAGCTTCATGGATCGCAAATGGAACACAAACAGATGTGTTGCTATGATGAGAAAGACAGCGTGAGGATAAGATGGTGTAAAGGCAATTTGCAGCTGAATACTTGGGAGGAAGTCGTCCCTGTAGAGATGAGTCAGCTCCAAATGCAAAAGCAAAACAAATGGCGAGATAGCCCTCACAATTGAACCGAACTAAGCATGGGATCACTCCCACTTGGCTGCTACTTTTGTCAATTTTTTAAGCAAGTAGGCTATGTTGAATAAAATCAACAGCATGTACATTTAACGGCAGTGATCTGGTCCAAAACGAGTTCAAAATGTTGCAGTTACTGATTTCGTCACTCTAGATGTTGTCTATGATGATACGCTTGTTTTTACAAAGGGGACTCGAACATGTGCTCATCTAGCAAAGGCCTTTATCATTAATCAATGTTGTCTTTAAAAACTCATAATTTAGCCAGTTTTGTCCAACTTTGTATTTTAAATGTTTGTAGTGGTGTGCATCAAGTGCCCCAAGTATTTGCCTGGCATTTTCAGGAGTAACTGTTTAATGTAGCATTTTTTAGCTCACATCGCTAGTATTTTTTTTACACCACCATGATTATAACCCTTTTGTCTCATACCGTTAATAAAGTTATGGTGCAAAATGGCCTGTAGCTTTAAGTTTGGGCTACAATGCTAATTTGGTGATGTTTTTAGCTAATGCAAAAGCTTCCTGAAGGCACTCAGAACATAAGTTGACTGAAAATGTGTTAATTTTATAAAAATGTATTGTAATAAAAATTCCTTGGTCATAACACCATCATCAGCACCAAAATGTGTCTCCAAATATAAACTTATAGACCACTCACATAGCTCAACTACATCTCAGCATAAGTAGTTTTTTGGTTTGAGGGTTTTGGTTTGTGGCTTTATCCTTGGCTTGTCTGTCTCACACATTTCACTACTGCGGAGCAGTGCTAGGTAGCAGAGTATGTGTAAAAAGCCTCCCCAGGCAGGACAGGAGATGAAGTGTTTGAAGTCAAGGTGGGATAAAGGCACATCAGGAAAGGAGCTCACTTAACTTTCTCAGTAGATTTGGCCTGAAGTCACAGCAGATTCAACACATCTGAGTAGACTTCAGGTCATCCGTTTGATTTTTAATGGCGCAAAGTTTACCTCATTTGTGTGAAGCCATGAACAAAGTGTTGGAATTTTTAAACCCTCAGAACTTAAGAGTTGTTACTGTCTTTTTGCTATACCGTTTAAATGCGATTATATAATGACATAATTAATTACATGCTTAGTTATATTCATTACATGCACACAGGGAAGTAAAGAGAGGGTATATGGCATGTGCAATGCATGGGCATGCCAAAGAAAGGGGGCATCAATGCCATGGCTTCAAAGAGAAAAAGTTAAATTAATGCACCTTAAGGGCCTATAACATGAAAAAACACTAAATGTTCCTCACTTTTACGAAATGAAAGAGTTTGATGTTGTTTGTGAATACTCTTAAAGTTTTAAAACATAACATTCACTCTCAAGCTCATACAGTCCATTCATGGAAACTGAGCCACAAAAACAGTTTCATGTTTTAAATTCAGTATCTCTGCGATATCATGAGGACAAGGAATTCGATCTGAACCAAGAGAAATAGCAATAGATCCAAACACAACTAGGAGCTGAATGTAGAGTAACAAGCCACAAGTTTCAGCACTCCAGCGTTGGATGTATGCCACTAAGGACATAGTTCTGATAGAGAGACAGTGTAGTCAAAGCACGGATGTGAGCTTTGAGTATATTTTTTGCTGACTGACATTTTTCACTCATATGGTGTGAAAACAGACACAACTATCACTAACAGTGGCACGAATTAATACCCATTAAAATGATGGCTTAACACACTGGGGATAATGGAAATGTGACACAACTTCTTTTGATAAAATCCTAGATCAGTGTTCTTATGCAAAACAAGGCATGTAAGAATAATGCAATTGTGAGCAAATATTGTGAAGAAAATGTTACAGCATGAGGTGTGGCGGGGAATTTGTTTGAGTGCGGGGCTGCATTAGAGTTTTGTTTTACTCTGGATGAAAGACACCATGACTGATATGGGCAAGTTCTTTTTGCTTAAAAAACACTGCAAGTAAAACTGAAGCAAAATTGTTGTTTTAATGTTTTAGACTGAAAAATCTGGGGGTTTTTACAGTGCAGAGGCATATCTGTATAGCCTACTGATTGGATTTTGGTATTGAGTAATCAGTAGGCTAGTTGTCATCAACAGGCACAAAATCTGAATGATGGGGGCACTAAAATGGGTCTTGCGAACACCTGAAGAAATGGATAGTTACATCCCTGTCTTTACATTCAGTTTACATTTTACATTGACAAGTTTGAGTCTGCTCTTTTAATTTTTTTGGTTTGTTTCAGTGTCAAAAATTTCCACAAAAATATATGTTTTTTTTTCTTTCTGCATAACAAGACTGTACACAAAATAACTTTTTATCAAATTCAAGTCATCCTCCTCTGTTTACAAACACAAATGCACTGTTGATCGAAAGTTAAGAACCCACACTTTCAACAGAATTTCTTACCTTGTTTTAATGAGCTACAAATAAGAAATAATTCATATCAAATTTTACTCTGCTTTTGTTATTGGCCTAAGCTGAAAATTCTAAAGGTTACTGTGTGTGCCAGGAAGATTTGAGCGGAGAGGATAAATAAAGCAAACTTAGCACTTTAGTCTACACAGACGTCAATCCGTATTTAATTTCGAGGCTTGCACTGTCATGGAAAAAAGTCGTGCGAAAGAATTTTAATATGAAGGAGGTAAATCTGCCTTTCTGGCAAAAGATTTTTAATATCCTTGCGATCTATCTCTGAGATGTCCAAATTCAGGTTAAATTGCTTCTGTGATTAATGAAACCGTTATTAGACATGCTGAATTAGGAGCTCAGGAAAGAGACAGGGACATCCATCGATTTATCAGGATGACTTCCTCGAAAGCTCCATTGAACCTCACTGGCTTTGTTTACTGTATGAAACACTCCAGTCGACAGCTTTTCAGCGAACAGTCTTGAGGAGGATTCAGCATGTTGACTGGTGTGTGCATGTGTGTGTGACTCATTGCCTGGCGCTCGGTGCCGACGTGTGTCAGCAACCCTGCAGCAAGGCTAAGTGATTAATTAGTCACAACAGGAGCTGCTCGCTGACAGCTACACCAGGCAGGTTACACCGCTTTGATCGTCATTCACCGATGACAATCCATCTCCACCAAGCAGAACGAGGCGAGGGGGAAATCAATGGAGATCCGTCTGCATCTCTGTCTGTCACACTATTATGGCTTGTGCAGTGACATTGGCCATGTAGAGTACAGTACAAGCATAAATCCAGGAGCTCCTTTTGGCTTGTCATTTACAGATGTATAATGCAAACATATTCTGCCCATTTTGATCAGCACTAAAAACATTCATCCTTTTAGAAACTGGAGAGCTGTTTTGCACAAATGCCCATTATGTTTGCTGTGGTTTTTCTTTGTCTTATTTAATAAGGTCCCCATGGTGACATTGTGGGCATGTGGAGAAAAAAAAACACTGTGTCTAACAGTTGAAAATAATTCTGTCATTTCAAACACTAGGAGTATAAAAATGTATCTATGCATTGATCACTGGGTGCCAATTCAACTATACTCATTTTGAAATGCTAGACTCAATTATATTTGCTTATAATAATATTCTTAAACTTCTGTAGTGTATTTTGACTAAAACTGAGTTTTCCATAAAACTATTAGTTCTCCATAGGTTGAATGGGATTTTTGTCAAACTTAGCAACAGTAGCTACAAAAGAATGCAATAATGGGTGGAGCATGGATAGGCCAATTCATTATTCAGTATAAATTTACATTCTAGGATTTCACTACAAACAAATCCAACTGGAAAAATTACATAAAATTGTTTTCTTTCTTGTGTAAAAAAGACTAATAGCATTGAAACTCTTAATTTTCTCTCATACTCTTTTTGTGCTATCTTTGAACCATTAGCCTGATCGTTTCATTCCCCATTTCCTCTTCTCATCTGGTCAGCATTGTGAGAAAAGAGAGGTGAACCCTTGGTAATACATATAGACATGACTCAAGCCTCAAACTTTCTTTGTCTTTTTTTTGTCTTGATCTCAGAAGGGTCCCAGATGCACAACATGAGTCAGCCACACCATTACCCTGCCCTCAGCCAGCTGGCCCACGTGTACGAGCAACAGCAGCCTAGCAAAGAGCTCAACAAATATGCCTCACTAAAGGCTGTGGGTAAGAGCATACATTTACTCTTTTTAGAAAAAAAAAATGCATGTGTGCTTTACTAAGCTTCATTATGCTAGATATTCCTGCTCTGTAATGTAAATGTGCTACAACACACCTGCATTTGGAATGTCTTCCTCACAGCCTGTATTGATTTGAACATTAGCAGAAGAAAATATGAATAATGTACCATCATATCAGTGGCTTCAGAACTAAAATCAGTTATAACTTCTCAAGAATGCCCATGTTCTACTTTGCTTGCCTTTAGACCGACAAATATGTTCCACTCAGTAGTTGAGCCTGAAAATAGCTTTTGAATGATTTCACCATTTTAGACATTCAGACAGCCAGCAACAGCAAAATTGAATGCTAAGAATTTATTGCTATTCCTTATTCAGCATTGTGGTACACAACAGTCCTATTTTCTGCCCCCACCTCCGCTAAAACATCTCATTCACCACCCGGCCCAAACCCAGTGGAAAAGAACATCACTCAGGCGTGAAATGTATTTAGGCCATTTGCCGCAGGTGTGTGTTTTCCTCCTCTTGCTCTTGTCCGCAAAGCCAGTCCCACAGCCTAATTTACCCTCATCATGAGTGACACACTAAGAGATCATTGAAAAGAGAGAAGCAGACTCCCTGGAGTCACTGTTATTTTTTTTTTATTTAATTGCCTTCCCCCTGAAAATTCCCAAAGGAACAGAATCTGCAGCCTAAGAGCTGATAAGCCACAGTTCTACCAATCGATAGTTATCTTCCCTGTCCCTCGAATGCATCTCTAAGGTCACACTATTGGATTTCTCCTGGACATGGAGACGTGGAGCTAACCAATAAAATAAAACACACCAGGAAATTCACCTCTGATATATTTGGATAGCCTATCTTTCTTTTATGGGAACAAATATGAGACCAATTACCTCTTGTGTCACTGGGCTGAAAAGAAAACAAGCGGCCCTCTGTATAGCACAAACTGCAGCTGGACATCTCATAGAAGTTCAGTGTATTTTCCCCTTATCAAAAACTTTTTTAAATGCATGCCAACATATTGTCACTGCCACATGAACTCATTACTTTTAACTAATTTTTTTTACAGTTAGGAAAGATGAGCTGTCCTGTTGCCCTGTACAGCATGAGAATACTTAATGATGAATGGACCAAAAGATATGGTCTTAAATGACTAAGAACAAAATCTTGTTACATCAATAAACATTGAAGTTAAGAAAGTTTTCCCTTATAGAGGAAAAACAAAATACCAAATTGCTAATGATGGGTTAAAGCAGACCTGGTGGCAACAAGTTACAATGCCTCTACTTGATAAATAGATAGATCACTTTATTAATCCGAGAGGGAAAGTTGTCTATTACAGAAGCCCAGGTACAGTAAACAAGTGCAAAACAAGAGCAAAAGTATTGTCATACACTATTATACAGATGCATAAATAGAAGAAGAAAAGATATATAATAAAATAAATTTAAAAAATAATATTTTTATGCAATATTATGCAGGTGACAATGCAGTGGTGCGTCATGTCGAGTGGATGAACCAATGAACGTATGTTAGTAGTTGTGCAATATGTCTGTGTGTATAAACAAGTGGCAGTGTAACATGTAATATTTATGGACATATAAACAAAGTGTCGGTGCAATATGCAATAAGTGTAGATGTATAAACAAAGTGGCAGTTTATAGTAAAGAGTAGATACATAATGTTCAGTTGGTGCTCAGTAAGCCTTTTCAGTTGCTTCTTTTATTTCCATTAGTTAAATATACAGTAGCCTTAGAATATAAACCTTCAGAAAAAAAGGTACTGTACAGGTACATTTTTGTTCATCAAGGTACAATTTAACTGTGCCCTCAAAAGAACAGTGGTCTTAAGGTGTGCATTAAATAAGGTTTTTCGGAGGGGAAAAGTACACATTTGTGTCTTTTCATAACCAATTCATAAGCAAATGTTTTAAATCAAAAAAGTACAATTAAAAACTTGCAGTTAAGAGTCCATGTCAATTTAAAAATATAATTGCAGTGGAATATAGTACAATTATGTTCCCTAACTAAAGGTACCAAGGACATATGCTTGAGAGTATCACCACAGTGACATGAGGGATACTACCTCAATGATAGTTTTGCATTTTTTTTTCTGAAAGTGTAAAAATGATCAGTGTAATAACTTGACTGAATGCATATTACTCAATCAAGTATCTAAGAAGCTATAACATAACATTTTAAAGTAAATTCATTATTTTAAGTGTACAACACACCACTACAGAGTGATGCATGCAAATGCTCGTATATTAATTGATGTAGTCTTTTTAACTGAGCATGCACAGCAAGCAGTGCAGCAGTGTGCACAAAGTCACTTTCACTTTGATTCTTTTTTTTTCCCTTGACACTATAGAAATATGTACAAAAAAGTGGGTTTAGTGGGGCATGATGACTGGTTGGGTCATCTTAAAACTGAACAAAATTTTTTTTGGTCATCTTAAACAAAAATCCCCATTTTAGTCTTTTGAATGCTTATGCATCTACATACTGTGACAGAGAGTTAAAGAAAACACATAAATATGTGCTGTACTATAAACCAATAGGTCTGCACACTTAAAAATATGGTTCTTCAAGGGTTGTTTTGTAAAGAAAATGGTTCTATATTGAACCATGAACACTCAAAGAACCCTTTGCATGATTAATGTGTTCTCTTCATCATGAAAGAGATCTTCAGATTGATGGAAAATGTGTTGTATATAGCACCAAAAATTGTTCTTCTATTGTTAGAGCCTTGACATTGTAATAATAGAAGAACCCTTTTTGGTGCAATACATAATCCTTTTCATAAATGTTCTATATAGAACCATCTATAGCACATTGTCCATCAATCTGAAGAACTATTTAATGATGCAAAGAACTCTTTAATCATGCAAAGTTCTTTGAGGGTTCATGGTTCTATATTGAACCATTTTCTTATTAAAGAACCCCTGAAGAACCATCAACCGTGTTCAGATACAGAACTAGCCAGAGCAAAGCTCAAACTCAATGTGTGAACTAACAGAGCAGGGATCTAACAGATATTTGAACTCCATCTGGGGCCATTTGTCTCCAAATCAAGGATTCGGCCTTATTATGGCAGAGCAGAGCATATGCTATTGAACGGTGAAATTGACTGGTGTGACGGCTGAGTAAGTGTGATGTGCGAGGCTAGGCACCGGTGGGAAAAAAGTCCACCACAAACAACATCTCATTCACCTCCCACAGGATAGAGGAGCAATAAATAAGATTTATCATTGCAACACACACCAAAGTCAGCATGTGTGGAAAGTTTATCTTCAAGGACGTTAAATCAACCAACCAACAAACACAGCAAGATGCCCACTGCTCCAGGCTTTAGAGAAATGATCCTATGGTGAATATGAATCACCTGGAGAAAGGATACATCTCTCAACACTGTGTGACAGGTTCAACTCGCACAAGGCCAGGATTCATGAACAGATCAGTTTAGTTAAACTAAATTCACATTACTGATAATACAGGGATGGTGTGCTGAATATCATTGTGGACCGTTTTGCAGATAATGGAACTCTCTTGTAGGAAATCAAAGAGGTGTTGAAGAGATGAAAAAAGATCTTGTTTGAAACCCATCTCTGCAAATTAATTCAACTGAGGACTTTTACAAATGAGTGAAACATCCCATTAGTGTGAGGGGCATGGTGGGAGCACACAACCAGACACAGGCACTGCCTCCGAATAAACTGCATGACAGATTAAAGGTCAGAAGAAGACATTTGATAAACAAATGCCAGTGAGAACATTAGAGCCCTCAGGGGTGGTTGTGTTAGCCCTAGAAGGCTGACCATCCTGTTGTGTTGCAGAGAGCACACTCATAGATCAATGAGCATTTCCACTATAAGAATGCAATGGTCAGTGGTTTTCCTTTGGCCTTGGTCACGCGAACAAGCCAAGAATTGTCGCTGGTCCATGACAAACGTGAAATAGATTGAATCAGTCTTAATAAGCAGGTCACATTAACTGTTAGTGACAATAAATATAACCCACAAAAAAAGCCTGAAAGCATTGTGGACCACTCGAGTACTTACATTAAGAGGTGGTTTATTAAGATACATAGCATGACTAATTTTGTACAAGCAAAACAGTCCCTTAAAGAATTACCAAGTAAGACAATCGCTCTTTGAGTGGAATTTCATTTCTCATCCCCTAATTAATTTTTATTCTCTCTGTGTTGCTGTTAGCAGCAAAAGCCAACGGTGACTTCTACAACAAGCAGCACCGCCACTTGACAGAATTGGCAGCGAAAGGCACCCTGCCCCTGCACACAATGAGGGTGGAGCATGTGGAGCCCATCGCATCCTATGTCACAGAAATCCCCTGCCCCAAGCAGAATGGACAGAAACCTAAGACTGCTAAGGTCCATTTGCAGCATCATGTGGCCTACAGCTCCAACACCATAGCCACACCAGGCATGCTGAAGGGCTGGGACGGCACAGAGACTGTGGGCCGACGCAAAACCTATGGCCCAAAGAAGCCCTGCCCGGTGAGTCAGATGAACGAGCTCCACACTGCCCACAGCCACCATTACCTTCCCACACAGCCCTACTTCGTAACCAACAGTAAGACGGAAGTGACCGTTTGAAGGATTGACCTGCCTTCAAGAGGTTATTTGCGCCCAGAGAGAATTCAGAAAGGAAGGAAGCAGAATCGATCAATATCCTGACAGTAAACCTCCAGTCTGCCCCTAGTGGAGTGGCGTAACTGCGGAGTTGAGTTGGCCGCACTGTGATTGGCCACAGGCGGTCAGCAACTAGAGACCTCACCATGCCAACAACTGATTACAAAAGCAGGAACAATTCAGGAACTGTTTTCAGAGAAATGTTCACTACGGTTTATACCAATTAACAATCGATGATGTGTTTGTGTTCAATCCACAACATGATAAAGTTTCAGACACAAAGGAGTAAGACAAAAAGAGTCAAAGTAAGCAAGCAATAAAAACTATCTAACTAAGAACTAAAACAACAACGAATGGCTGTAAAACACTGACTCTTACAAATGCATTGCAGTATTAAGCCCAAAGGTCCAAGGGCTAGTGTGGAGTACGGAAAAAAGTCCAGAACTCTACATAATAATCAACATGATGTCTGTTTAGCTGGATCTTCCCTCAGATAATTCCTACACTGCTGAAACTAGTCTTGTTTACTATATGGGCAAAGAAATTGGTGGCAGATGCCTTATTTTGAAGATACCTTTGAACGCCTTATTAAAAAGATCTATAGTAATACTACAGGAATTTCTGCAGGATTCCTTTAAGTTCCTATAGTCAGTTTGGACACTTACTACACAAGTATTATAATTTACTGTAAGAAAGTACTTCAGGAATATTGTGGGAGGTGAAAATATTGTAGATTATTATAGAAGTATTATACAGCACTACATAAGATGTATAGTTTCTTATAGTGTTGCTACAGTTCTTTTTTCTAAGGGAAGAAGTAGTGAAAGAAACACAAATGAACCGTCATATCATGGACTGGTATTCTAGGGCTGCACCTTTCATTTTCACATCAAAAAAAAGCTTCACAGGTGAAGATGGGAGAACTTTCATTTAATCTCGAAAATCTCATGTAACAAGCTTCACAAAATGTGCTCCATTTCTCAAGAGCTAGAATTATCTTTCAAGGAGATCATTTCTACTGTATTTGTCACAGAGTACCATGAGGTAGCACCGGCAGTCCATGGGAAAAGGGAAAGTAGTGAAAAGTACTGTTAATGAACATGTTCACTCTGCTACAGATTGTGCCTGTTAGCTCTTGATTTAAATAAGTGTTTGATCTCCCTTTCAGAATATTTAACTTTCATTTCTTATGTGTTTTATTGTATCCTCTTGGACGCATAAGAGCATGTTGAACTATTTGTCCAATGTCTCTTCACAACTGTAGATGTATTTGCAGCTCAGTTGTAACCACGAGGTTTTAGCACTTTGATTTCAGTAGTTGAGTAGGACTGGAGGAGCATTATTTTTTCAAACAGACATTCTGGTGAAAAAAAAACAAACAAAAAAAACATATATATATATATATATATATATATATATATATATATATATATATTTATACTATTGCCAGTATATGTATGCAAATGATACAGTACATTGTGCCAAGAATTAGCTTGTTGAAGTTTGTGTTTTATTTTATTATCTATTTGTCTTTTTCACTCAATTGTACATTCCAGATAACAATGTTGCTGCATCCCAATATAATGGATGTGGTGGTTCTGGAAATCAAAATCAAGTCATAATATTGGAATAAAATAATAATTTCTTTCTTCTTCCCTTCTCTACCTGCTATTTCTTCATTACATTTCTGTCTACAGTGTTGACAGGTAGTTAGTAAGCAGTTTATTGAACAGGTAATTTTCTTTTCACAACAAATGGTTCCAGCTTTACTGTAGTTAGTCACAAAATGGTAATGTGTGAACCAGGATGTATCAGTCATGAACACTTCCACAGATTTTTGAAAATTCCTGTATAATTTTGTTGTTTTGTTGATGTAAACAAGTTATTCATAGTGGTTTGATGTGAAATGTGGCATTTTAGAGAAACTTACTGAGTCAGAATTGTTCACAGTGACAGTAATAGGAACCAGCTGTCTGAAGTGTTTAATTGCTCTAAAAGCCACATTACAGAAAGTTATTAAATAAAATGACTATGAATACACTGATGCCTGAGACATTGTTTTACAGTAGTTTTGAGATAAGATTTCTGAGCTAAAAGATATATATTTTTTTATCCAATCAGGGCAGTATGTACATGCAGAGCGTTGTAAGGCAAAGTAGTACCCAAAGGAAACTTTCTAAAAAAAAAAAATTTTCTAAAATAAATTTTCTTTTAGACTAACCACTTTTTTAGAATGATCAACATTACATATAAAAACTCAGATGGCATATGTGGATTCAATGGTCATTTTAGATAATAAATAAAAAAGCTATATTTGTGTTGTAGACATTGTGATCCCCGGTTGCAACCCTAACCCTAACCTTCCTATCACCATCACATTGCAACGAAAAGTGAGTCTGTAAGTTTCTCTACAATGTGCCATTTCACATCGAAACATTTGGAAAACATTTCAATGAAAACTGAAGGTTTTGGTTTGGTTCCTGAACATCACTTTAGTTTGTGGGTCATCACTAATAAAATGGAAAACAGTAGTAGTCCATCATTTCATGATATAAATCATCTCTATATAGTTAATTGTGCACATCCTTACATTTAACTTAATAATATAATATAGTAATATATAAAATGATGTAACAGTAATATAAAAGGAAAGAATCATGTTTCCATTTGTGTTAGAAGAAGAAGCAGGCCTTAAGATCTCCATCCTTTAAACTAAGAAAAGAGGCTCTGGTTGATTTGATTCAGTTCCTGGAGCGAGAGTAAGGCACATAATCCAGTCTTCAGCTGGCACCCCTTCACCTCTAAACAGGTGGCTGGTATTAGCCAGCGGTTGAATGCACTCATTTCAGCCCAGGCTTTGTTGCACTGCCAAAAAAGTTTCAGCTTGTTGAAGAGAGGCGCATTAAGGTGCCAGGTGCAAGTGACCTAATTAGCAGAATCAAGCCCTCTCATTCTGTAGTCTGTTCAGCACTCAGACACAATCAACCAGCCAACTGGGTGGTCCAATCAGTTACAGCATTAAAGATGCAGCTGAATCTGTGTACTAAACACTGAATCTTCAGCTCCACTCCCCATAATGTTTAGCCATGTGAGCGTAAGCTGTGGTGTATTCTGTATACTTGAGCAAGATATATATATATATATATATATATATATATATATATATATACATACATGATCATTTTGAAAATATAGGTTTTCTTCTGACAACAGCGATATATATGTATCAATGGAAGAGATTAGACTTTAACAAGAAGCTGACCTTTTTGCACAAAGACTTTAACATGGTCAATGTCACAAATTGGCTTAAATTTGAATGGTGAGAATGTTAACGCAGGGAGTTTAACTAGAGAAAGATATTATAGTAGGGTTGCAGTGCATAAAGCCCTCATTACAAAGACAAAGCATATTTGAGGGTTCAGTGGTGCAAAAACCACAGGCTCTGGTCTACAGAGACATGAAAAAAGTGATATGGTGAGATGTTATCCTTCACAAGTCAGCAGATATATGTGTGTACTAAAAGGATGGTACAGGCCTGAATACTTGACCCCCACAGTGAGGGTGGCAATGCCTTCATCAACAGGGTTCAAGAGGTCATTGAATGGTTTGCGTAGTATGAAAATAATGTAAATTATCTATAAAAATGTTGTAAATCATCTTTACAGACCCCAGTCCACAACACAGTTAAATAACTGTAGGAGACTTTGGACCAAGACTTCCAGAGACTTGCCAAGACTCATTGAAGCTCTTCTGGTGGTTTGTGGTGGCACAACACCTTACTAAGTTACTTTATGTTGTTTTTATGTCACCTGTCTATAGTGAGGAATCTCTGTTTTACTGTGTATTGTCTGGCATTCTGTTCAGGAATGCTCTGTATACATACTAAAACAGAAAGATACACATCCACATGTTCCATATTTTATTTAACCATTTATTTTAAAGGGAAATTAATTCTGCATGTCACTTTGTACATTTACATTTAATACTAATAAGCTACAGGCCCGGATCATCAAGTTATAGGCCCCTGGCCACCAATATTTGGTGAGTCTCTACCTGGCTACCTTTTTGGGTAAGTAGGGATTTTATTTTGATGATATCACAGCTGGCTATATGAGGACTATGCAGAACCATGATGGCAGCATACTAATCACAGTGTTGGGCATGTCACCATTATAAGAGCATATTTTTTTTCCAATCAAGACAAAAAAACTCACAAGATTATGCATACATTAATGAGAGCACAGGTTAGGATAAACTTAACAACCACTGTAACATTTCTTTATAATGCATACATCCACTTATAACAAGCAAAATGAAGATGCCAGATAGAAGTAAGCAGCAAACCTAAAAACTCAAACCATCAGGCATCCTTTTTTTCACGTATGTCTTACCTCTGATGACTTTATGCACAGAAGTAAACAGTTCACAGGCTAGCGAAGTACCGACAAGGATAATGCAACCTTTTTTTTAGTTCAGGCGGTTGACCTTTTATACTGGGCTTTCAAAATGATCGTCCTCTACTCTGTCAAAGTATCTGGTCTCTTACAATCTCTTATAGATCTCCAGACAATCTTTTACATTTCTGGACCTTCAAATTCAAAGTACAAGTAAAGGAACAAGCTTATTGCTAAAAACCATGAAACCTTGACCAAGTTAATGGTGCATAGTGGAACAGTTGCTAAGCAATGATTGAATGAGAAAATTAAGTGGATGCTGAGGAAAGATCAACTCATGGGATGATCTGGGCCTCACAAGCTGTCCTCAGAATAATACTGCATGTGAGAGTTATTTGTAATATACCACAGCACAAAATCAAAAGCAAAAAACATTATGGGTTTGATCTAATGACCTTAAATATAATCATTATACCAATTTAGGATAATTAAGCAAATATAACTATATGTATGGACAAAACATTGATTCTCAACAGGTTCAACTCTTAACACGCTTCGCTTCGGGAAGCAATATTAGCACAAGACCATTTGCTGAGAGCTTCATGAAATGCTTCCCATGGCCAAGCAGTTGCAAACAACCCTATGCTCAATGCAAAGTGTTGGCTAGAGTTGTGCAATGCACACTGTCACTGGACTCAGGAGTGTTGTCTAGAGTGATGAATCACTCTTGTCTGGGAGTGTAATGGATGAATTTGGGTTTGGTAGATGCCAGAAGAATGCAATCTATGCAAACACATAGTGCCAACAGTAAAGCTGTAGTGTGTACTAGCCCCCGTAGTTCCAGTGAAAGGTAAAGTTAATTTTACAGCATACAAATACATTTTACACAGTTATATGTTACCAACTTTGTTGTGACAGTCTGGGGAAGGCGCTTTCCTGTTCTAGTATGACCGTGCCTCTGTGCACAAAGCGAGGTCCATGAAGACATGGATTGACAAGCTTGGTGTGGAGGAACTCCAGTGGCCTGCACAGAGTCCTGACCTGTACCCCACTGAACACCTTTGGGATGAATTGGAACATTGATTGTGACCCCAGCCTTTTCATCCAATGTAAGTGGCTTACTTCACAAACGCTCTTTTAACTGAATGGGCACAAATTCTCACAGATGTACTCCAAAATCTTGTGTAAAGCATTCCTAGAAGAGTGGAGGCTGTTGTGGCTGCAAAGGGCGGGACAACTCCATATTAATGCTCATGGTTTTGAAAGAGGAAGAGGTCCAACAAGCTCATACAGGTGTAATTGATAGGTGCCTACATACGTTTGGCCATACAGTGTATGTGGATTTCATATGAATTGTACATATAAAATATGTAACATTTAAAATGTTATTTAAGTTTTACACACCAAGTAAAATACATACAGTACTGTGAACTTTTTTAAACTTGACATAATACAAAAAAAGAGTAGACCTACATTTCAGCAGCATTTTAAAGTCAGCATGGATTGGAAATCAAAACGCATTTTCCTCTCAAGCCATGACATATTTCTGAATGAAACATGGTATCAGGGAGGGTCTCTGAGTGGCTCAGCAGTTCACTCAATCATAGGTGGGGGTGGTGGGAGACGGAGGTGAAATGTTAATATAATTTTTACCCACCTCCTGATGCACAGTGATGTAATCAAAAACCACAAGACTTTTTAGATGCAGGCAAAATCATTACATTTTGATAGGAGGTTATGAAAAATCAAGATTTTTTTTCCTTTATATGATATGATCGTGCTTAATCCACTTTGGAGTCCTACTCTATTTGAATAGTTCCCAGTATATTATACATGTGCTCAAATTCTCAGCAATCTACTTGGTGAAACTGATCAGCATTAGATTTAGAACTTTTTTTAGAAGTTTTAGGCTTAAGATTAAGTTTTGGATTAAGTTTTAAAGCAATGGTTCAGCCAAGAATCAACTTTACA